CTTCCAGGGAGATATATTTTCAATTTGCATTGCACTAATAGATATGAAATTGCTTATAAAGTGCAATAGATGGTTGAGTGGACAAAAAACTTAAGGGAATTGTGCAAAATATATTCATTTGATGTCATGCTTGAGTCTGTCTGATTGGTATTAGTCCATCAAATGTTATTTATTACTGATTCAACACAAAGAACACTTCAGAAAATCTTATCCTGGAGACTGTTTTATGGGAAGCTCCTTGATTATTTATATATTTTGTGTGTGTGTGGGGAAATTTTAGTAGTTTTTTTATCTAAAAATGTTCACATGCAAACACGCCATTTAGTAAAATCTTCAGCATATGCTGCAAAAAAAAAATGTTTGAAGAAATAATAAGGAAATAATGATCAACAGTTAAGGGAATAGTGAAAGTTAGCTTTTAAGGCCTTTTTCAAGTAATAACTTATTTATTACATCATTTTTCATAGCACATCCATTGCTTCATTGCTAACATAAAAATAACACCTTCATATCTTGTCATCAATTAAATTAATTTTGTTTCACATCTGACTGAGTAGAAATGGTTGTTCTATATTTATAGCTTTGAGTTCTCTGAACATCACAGATCATTCTAAACAGAACTGTCTCAAAGAACTATTTATAGATGTGGCAAGCATAAGATTAGACTGTATTTTTAAATTATTTATTCCCCAGAGGGTCTTTTATGTGCTGGGACCATATTTCCCAGCAGCTGCCTGTAAGTGCATAAACCTCTCAATCGCTTTTAAGGTTACTTTAAATAAAATGGATGAAAATCTTACCATCCAGACAAAACAATATTGTGAAAGCATCTGTTTTGGACGGTCTTCTTGATTGTTTTGCTGACATTTGACGTTGCTAGGGGTGATGAACATATCTGATTACTGAAGCAGGAAAATGTCTGGTGAAAAGAGCAAACAGAGGAAACAGTTTGCTGATGACGGTGTAATCAAATTTGACGTGTAATGACATGAAGATACATGTTATTGTGAATGAGGGGGGTTGTTTAGTTAGAAGTCTAATAAGATGCAGAGCCCTAGTAAATATTATAAATATGATAAGCTATAAATAAACAAACAAAAATAAATAAATTAAAGAAGAATTTATTGAAGGGTCTGGTTCTTTAATTTGCATATATGCATAAATTATAATAAATGCTGTAACTTAAACCTGCCATTGCTTTTAGCAGAATGATAGTTTGCTATAGGACAGACGTGGGTAACTTAAGACCCGAGGGCCAAAAATGGCCCTTGCACAATCTCCATCACACCCTTAGTATCCTTAGTTTAAAAACAACAATTACAAAAAACAACTTTTACAAAAATAAATAAATAAATAAAAATAAAAAAAACTACAATTTATCAACAAGATTTAAGGAAATTTAAATTAACCGTCTTACACAAAACAACAACAACAAAAAAAACAGTTTTTAAGTAATCGTGTTTGCAGAACAAGAAGTTTGTTGAGAATATTTCCGCTAACATGTAAAACATGTTAAGCTAACGCGTATAACATGCTTAACTATTTAACTAACGTGTATAGCATGTTAAGCTAATGCATATGGCATGTTAAGCTAACACGTTTAACATGTTAAGGATTCAAGGTTCTTTATTTGTAATATGCACCACATGTGGTGGAACAAATTTGTGTACACAGGGTCCCAGTTATATCCAACAAAAGTAGAAAATGTAAACAAAATACAGTAATAAGATCTAAGATATGAACTAAGGAAAATGTTAACTAAAAATACATTAAGCACTAGTAGTATAAAAAACAATACGCCAAACAGCAGCACGAACATGAGTCTGTGTGAGCAGATGAATACGAATGAACACAGCAGCATGAAACAAATCAGCAGCTTCATGATTTGATCTTTCACAGTGATTATCCTGGTTAGAGATTCATGAGTCTAAAAACCTCAGGGTAGAAGCTGTTCCTCAGTCTAGTGGTTATACACTTAATGCTCCTCAACCTCCTTCCTGAGGGGAGCGGGGCAAAAAGTGTGTGTGCTGGGTGAGTGGGGTCCTTCATGATGCAGGTGGCTCTCCTCCTGCATCTGGGGGTGTAGATGTCTGTGATGGTGGGGAGACTGACTCCAACAGTCTTCTGTGCAGCCTTCACCACTCTCTGCAAAGCTTTTCTTTCTGCAGCTGTGCAGCCTCCATGCCACACGTTGATGCTGGAGCACAGGATGCTCTCCACTGCACACCTGTAGAAGGAGGTGAGGACTGAGCTTCCCAGACCAGCTCGCCTCAGCCACCTGAGGAAGTAGAAGTAGTAGTTAAGCTAATGTGCAAAACATATAGTCACAAGACTCAGTTTACAGAATGTCTCATATTCCTAAAATATATAGGAAAGACATGTTTTATAAGGCATGCTAACTATGTCACATTAAACAAAAGCCTAAAAAAAAGTCTTCTAGATTATCTGTCATAAAGAAATTTATTTTCCAATTCTTTATGCGGCCTTTTGATTGCTTTAAACATCTTTGGAAAAAAATGTTGCCCACCTCTGTTATAGGATGTGACATAAATCAGTCTGTGGTGCTTTTGAGATAACACAGTAGGTTTAACACAAGCACATTTAAATGAACTCAAATGCAGCTTATGGAGTGAACTGGTGACTCGGGCCGATCTGACGTATTTCAAGCTCGATAAACGTTGTTGGAGGAGAGGGAATAACAGTCACTGATGAAAAATGTTGCTCTGTTACACACAAAAGGCCAGAAGACTGTCATAGTTAATATTGCTGCCGTTTCCTCAGCTGGCTTCTCCTTTTTTGAAATTTGTTCATGTTTGGTTTCTGAACAGTTTTCATGATTAAAAAAAAAAATAACTTTACACTACTTGAACATCTTTTAAGGTATGACTCAATTTGCTCCATATTCCAGTCTGTCTTTATGGAGTTTCCACAGCTCTGACACTTCATATCTGAGTGTGTGTCACAGAAAGATGCTCTTAACCAGATTCAGGATTTCATTTGAGGATTTCATTGACTTTGGAACAGCCTCTGGGGTCAGATACAGTAAGTGTTGGTCACTCGTTTTATGCATAAATGGATAAGTGAGGGTAGGAGGAAGGCTTTAAGCGAGTTGCTTTATATATGTGGCATTCTCATTTTATTATCTGCTTAAAAAAGTACAAAATTAAGCAGAAAGTTTCAGCTTTTGGAAGGATTCCATTAAATCCAATTCAGTTTATTTATATAACGCCAAGTCACAACAGAAGTCGTCTCAAAACACTGAACAGATACATTCATATATTAAAAAATACAAAGTAGGTTAACACTTTTTATCTGAGGAGCAGACTGCTTTGAGTTTAACTCCGTCGCAGAACTCTCATTTTGAGCGAGCATGAAGGCGACAGTGGAAAAGAAAAACTCTCTCATGATGAAGAAACCTTTAGCAGAACCAGGCTCAGGACAAGCGGCCGTCTGCTTCGACTGGCTGGGTTTTGGTAGGAACAGATACACAATGGCAGGTCAAGAATCACATGTTAAGATAGAAATAAAAATAGAAATCATTTAAGGAAATTAGGTCAATTTGTCCTCTAGTAGTCTAAGCTTAAGACAGCATAACAAGCCAACCCTAACTATAGGATTTATCAAAAAAGAAAGTCTTAAGCCCAGTCTTAAAACTGGACAGCCTCATGGACAGAAACTGGAAGTTGGTTCCACAAGAGAGGAGCCTGATAACTGAAAGATCCTCCTCCCATTCTGCTTTTGTAAACTCTAGGGACCGCGAGTAAACCTGCAGTCTGAGAGCAAAGTGCTCTGTTGGGAAAATATGGAACAACAAGATCTTGAATATAAGCTGGAGCCAGGTTGTTGAGAGCTTTATATGTTAAAAGTAAGATTTGAATTATATTCTGGATTGGTTACCATTTTGAGAACCCCACCTGTACAGTGGGCACACTCGTGTCTGTAAATGCAGGTGGACAGTGGGATGACAAGGTGTTGGCAGTTACTGTGGTCTTGGTGACAGGTTAAAAAAGCAGCAAAGCATGAGGCAAGGTGTTGGTGTACGGAGTCAGCTCCTGCTGGTTTATATAATGAGACCATGTGCTCCTCCTTAGGGCACCAAAAAGGGAACATACTGGTTTGTTACACCCCATAACTTGGTTCTTTTGGGTTTTATCGTCTTATCACTTTGTGTCATTAAACATGTTTTGCCCTTTGTTAAGAGTGTAGACATGCTTTTACAATAGATTATAAGAAAAACTGAAATGTACAATGAATGTGCTAAATTGCTTTGCTTAAAGGGCTTTTTCTCTGTTTTTCAAGGAGTGGGAGGATGTGTAGTTCCATTTTAGTTTCTAAAAGTAGAGACAGTGAGGTATAAAAACAACCAGAAAGTATTTTTTATTTTATTTATTTTTTCATGTGGAGTAGTTTTATTATACCACATTTTTGATAAATAATGTATAAAGAAGAAATGAAAAGTATTTTCTCTTGTCACACTTTTTTAATGTTTTGCTGACATTTAGAAGAAGCTGGGAGAAATGTGAAATGCTACACAAACCTTTACATCAGACGAGTGCAGCTTTTTTTTTTTTTTTTAAAGTGAAAATAATGGAAAATAACTTATCAATGTGACATTCATACTTTCTTATTGTATAGACTCTTTATGCTGGAAATCTTTTGTCCTTGTATTTGAAAATGTTTGCATGGACCTGAATACATTTTATTTTCTGTGATACAACAGTTAATTTACACTAGTTGTAGACACATGACCTAAAATGTTATGACAAATGTCTCTGTTCCCTTTAAAGTATGCAAACATGATGTAATCTATACTTAAATGTTAAAAAAAAACACCTGCTAAAAAAAAAGAACATATATTTTATACTTTTATGTTCTTGTCTAACTGCAGGAAGCTGACAGATGAATATGAATATTTTGAGTTATCAGACAATAAAATTATGTTAATGAGCACCATTTTTTTCAACTCTAACTCCTTTCTCTCATCTCACTCTGCCCTGCAGGACAATGTGAATCTGCTTCTAACAGAGGAAGAGATGTACAGTCTAATAGAGCTCTTCAAACAGTGTAAGATCATCCCAGGTGAGTTGCTTAGGGCTGCTTTTAAAACACATACGGGAACAGTGATAGATTGCTTCGCTTCTCATTTTAGTCTAGATCTTTCCAATATGAAGGTTTATTTTCACACGTTGCTATGAACTGTTTTTTTATTTTTATTTTTTTCCTCAGCATCTTCTTTATGAGGACAGTGATTATTTAACCTACTAGTTTTTTTTTTAAATTTAATTATTTAGAACATTTATAGTAACAAACGCAGGTGAATTGTCCAGGGTCTTTGTTTTGGTCCAACCTCATTGTTATCATGATTTGCGCTTAGTTTGAACTCAAATGTAGACAGAACTTGGACAACTCATGAGTAAATGAAATACTATTTATTTGAATAATCAAAAAGGACTGACGTGGCAGCCAAAACACACCCACAGATCATAATAAGGAGGCACGGGTGGAAAACATTCATTCATTCATTCATTCAACTTTATTTATACAGGTTCCCACTGAGCTTCTAGTACTTATTTACAAGTGAGACATGTTACAGACAAACAAAAGTAGATAAGAAAAAGTGAAACACGAAGGGAGGGGGGGGTTAAAAAAAATTGTATCTCGCACTATGTCCTGGCCGGGGCACAATGTGAAAGTTGCAAATAAAGACCTCACACAAATAAACAGCAACATACTAAGACATCATAATATATTTATGCATGTGGAGGCTGACAAAGGCGGTGAGTTGTCCGTGGACACTGCTAGAAAGTTTCATAGTCCTGATAAGAGATGGCACAGTGTCTATCAGCCGGCTCAGCTTTGATATAGGTCCACAGAAGTCCTCGGGAAGGGAGCGGGGACAGAGCAGAGCTTCTTGTCCACATAACCACCAGGAGAAATTTGAGATAGTTGGCCTGTTCAAGGCCAAACGGGGAAGTCAGATTCAAACAACCTTTTTTTGGGGACAGGCCGACTGCTTGATTTTTTGTCTGCCTTCATAGTTCTGCTGGTATATCTCAATGGCGACTCCAAACAGCCAAATTTTGTGGTCACTCCACTGAGCTGTGCTTGTAGCCTTCTCCAAGGTCGATTCCTTCATACCATCGAGTTCCAGGAGCCGCAAGTTGCCTGTGATTCTCATAAATCATGTCCAGCTTACAGCTTAGCTCACAAAACGACTGAGTGCTCGAAACATGGCACATTTCTTCACACAAGGCAGGCAGCCTTGCAATTGCCAGAACCGCTGCAATCTTTTCAGAATTTGTCGCTATGCCAGATACTCGCCAACTCCAAAAAGCAAAAATCCTGTTATCATAAATGCAATTATGTACACATCTTCTACATCCTCAATGGACAATACAGACAGACACACCATCTTCCACTGCCCCCAGGAATCCATAGTGTATCCATCTGCGTGTGATTCTTCATGGCATGAGGGCTCTCCTTCGCCTTGTCTTCTCGTCGAGAAAATTTTATCAATTGCGTTGAGAGACCAGCTGACCAGATCCATAATTTACAATTCAGAAGATATGTAAAGAGAGGCTCTGAAAAAAATGAACAGGACAAGAGCAGAAGCAGGAGCGGAGGGAAATGCATCCGTCTTCATCAAGAGCAAGCAGGAAGTAACACGAAGCCTTACTGGACAATCCATGAACAGGGAAATAAAGAAACGCAGAATATATGGAGACAATAATGGAGGAATTAACACAAACACCTGGGGAAGGACAACAGGTGGCAGAGGCAGGAGCTGATTACAATAGGAAGAAACACTGAAGAGGGCAGGGCAGATGACACGAGAATCACAAATTATACACCGATCCTCTCAATTGTCCCTGAAAAGAAATGTGCATATAAATGTTTGGAGCAAATGTTAGAGAATAGATAAGCTAAACTAGTTTGGTGGACATAGGAAATGCTGTGAATTCTAAATAATCTTCTTCAGCTGCCCAAATTGTTGTGACAACTTTGCAGGAAAGCAGAGTGAGGTGGTCTTTCATAAATGAAAGATGAACCACCGTGAGTTAATTATAACTACAAGACTGCGCTGTGCCTGATCTGATCAGACGTGATGAATTGTCCCCTGCCGTTGTAGAGTCGTGCCTGGTGTCGGACGAGCTGCTGCAGTACCGCCACTTCGTATCCAAGCAGCAGTTTGATAAGGACCTGAGTGATGAGCAGGAGGAAGAGGTTTTGGCCCAATTTGCGTCTCTGGATCCTGAGAAGAAAGGTCACATCGAATGGTCAGACTTTCTCTACTTTGAGTCTCTGGCTGTTTTGAAGAAGTTTCGGTCTGAGGTATAGTATTTGGTTAATAATAAAGACAATAAATACATAAATGAACAATGTAACTAGCATGCAGTTCCTGTTTTTCTTTGGATCATATCAACTTATTATTCATATGTTCTGAAACTCAACAACTAATTGTGGTATTAAATTGGGGATGGTGTGTTGGGATTTAGGATTGTCACTGGGCACGATGTACGTACAACAGTCCCTTCATGATGCAATTATACGAACTGTATTTTATTACATCAAGATTCATGCTCAATAATCCAGGTAAAAAAAAAAAATCCAACAGTATACACTCAGATCATCTGGATGGTTTCTTTATTTTGTTGAGATGATCTGACGAAATTTGCTGGATTTTTTACCTGGATTATTGAGCATGAACTTTGATATTTTGAACCACTTTGATTATAACTGCCTCCGAGGAGTCAACGTGAGAGAGGGCGAACCCCAGAAACCATCTTATCACCAGAAAACTGGTTGTTCCACTATGGGAGTGTACTGCTTGTGGGACTCAGTTTATTGTGGCTCCTGGGACTGATGAAGTCCTTTGGATGAAGAACCAAATGTCTCAATAAAAAAAGAAACCGTCACATGATCTGACTGAACTTTGTTGGATTATTAACTGGATTATTGAGCATTAACTTTGATGTATGTTATTACGTCACAGAATTGTAGACACATTTTATTAGTTTTTAACTGAACAATAGACTCCTAGTCAATAATTATTTATGTATCAATACAACAAATTTTATTTATTTTTTTAATCCAGATGCTTTAATTAGTCAGTTTGCTATTTGTAGCTATTTGTAACCACAACATATTTTAATATGGATATTTTTATATGGCTTTGGGGATAAATTTTGCTTTCAGCAGACAATATGCATCTCTGGGGTGAAGCAGATTATATTAGTCGTTGCTGATTGATTGATAAATATTTTAGCAAAAAGCTCTAACTAGTTAATTTGAAAGTGGATGAAACTGAGAACTATAAAATCAAACACATTTTTAAGATTATTTCCCTTTCTTTCTTTTGTGTTGTTGTACAGAACTCATTGGTGCGCCTACTGACTGCGAAGGAAAGGGACAAGGCAAGGTCAGTTTTCCTCAGTTTGGAGAAAGATGGCGTGATCACAAGAGCAGAGAGCCGTCAGGCCCAGCAGTCCTGGTTCCACAAACTCAAGGACTCTCAGTCCTGCAATGTGAGGTGAGGACGCCACACATCACAGCTAATGCCAAGACTCTGGGGACGCAGGATCTGATCTGCATGCAGACAGCAGCTGGTAGATGAAGAAGAAGCAGAAGAAAGAAAAACAGTCGGGCAGCTTAGAAAATAGAGGCAGAGAGAAAGAAGCAAAACAAGCTGTTTGATTCTCATCACGCGTTTCGTATAGTGGATAAAAATCAAGACAACGTCTGATTTCATTGATGTGTTCGTGAAAAACAGTCCCACACTGCTGCTGAAAACGTTGGAACACTATAAAAATAGAAATAAAACACGGTCAAATGATTTTTAAACCATTTACGGTACATTGTTTGTTATTAAAATAGCGCAGAGGCGGCAAACAAAAGTACATTCCAGCAAAATGTTACAATAAAATGTTACCACTGTGTTGCATCACCTCGATTTACTTTTGACATTTTTTTTTGTCTTTATTTTTATTTTTTTTCATTTTTCATTTCATTTTTTCAGCTCATCCACCAATCAGCCAATTGTGTCATGTCCAATCTTACTTTGAAAAACTGTGATAGAGTGAAAAACAAACCACAAAGTAGCGAAGCACTACTGTAGTATTTTAACATTTTTAGTTTGTAGCTGTAATTTATAATTACTTAATATGGTAATAATAACCAAAAAAATCAAAACAGCTTCAATATACTTACATTTTAAATTATTCAAAGATAAATAATTTCATATACTTTGATGCAATGTTCATTTGCTTTAATTTTAAATTTATATATTTAACACATATTTTCAATTACATAAAGACGAGCGTTAAAACATTTAGTCTCATTTTTTAATAACTAGTATAGTCTTAAGTGCATTTTGAAACTCTGCAGAAAAAAAAACACTTCCCAATGTGCACTTGTTCAGCCATCTATGGTATTTTGCATTAAACTTCACTAAGCTACCAGGCCTTTTTATTTTATTTTATTTTTTATAAAATGTTGAGCTGAAAAGTTAGGAATTGTTTAAGGACTGCAGAAAAAATTAATCAAATTCAATCACACATCTGCAAAATTCTTGTTCATGAGGAAAATCCTACAGATGTGTTAGAGTTGCGTTTTTGTTTCCAGTACTTAATAATTAACAATTTAAAATAAAAGTGAAATCTGCAGACATGTATTTTTTCCAAATCATCTCCAAAAAACTTTTCTTGCTAGTCATGCTTCTGTTTTCACTAAAAAATAATTATTGACCAGAGTGTAACACAACATGGCAATATAATTATTTTCTTGCCACAATGAAGAAAAGCATTCAACTGAAACATATAAATGAAGGAACCATGACGTCAATTCTGATTGTCATAAGGTCGCTGAATGTAATACGTTTTCTCGCCACGGCAAAAGTAATAAATAAAAAAGGGTACAAATAATAGAGCATTCAGGCTTTTGTCAAACTCAGCCTATTTAAATAATACCCAGTTGGGAAATAATTAAGAAAATCAGCCATTTTCTCACTTTATACAACAGTACTAAAAACAGTCAGTTTGATGTTTAATATTCTTTAGTTGCAAGAGACAGTGCAGATTCACAATGTGTGCGTTTTTTTTTTTTTGTTTGCTGCTCAAGTTTGAAATAGATAATTGCTTAGGCATAGTAACGCAAGCATATTTTGGAAGAAGCAACTTTATGCAACAATCTGAGGGCAAAACTCTGTGTTTTTTAAAAGTTGGTGCTCAGACCGGATCAAAGCAGGAAGAAAACCTGAAGGTAAAGCAATCTGGTGCAACGTTACAACAAAGAGAAAATCTGAGTCAAACCCTTGAAGGGATACGTCCAAATGTTTCAAGTGGAGTTCTGTCAAAATGTTATGAATAATCAACGTCATGTCTGTTGTAGAAAACTCTTTGAACAACTTTAGTTTGGAAAAATGGGGTTTAATTATGTCCAGATTGATGTGCCAGTAACTAGTTCAAATGAGGTCAACATTTTCTGTTAGTTTAAACCAGGGGTGTCCAAACATTTTCATAGGCCAGAACGGTCTAGATGAAAGGACTCAAGGGCCAGAAATATTAATTTAAGAATTAAAAAAAAAAAAAAAACTTTTAAGAAAGCATGATTTCCCAACTCATTTTTAACTATTTGAATATATAGGAGAAAAGTTACAAGTTTAATTTAAATTATTGTAGATCCAGAACATAAGGAGCCTCATAAACTTTAACCTTGTTTATTTTATTTTTATTTTTTTTTTAAGAATTCAATTTATTGATTTTTTGGGGGGGTCTATTACTTGTTTTCTTCTGTTTGGAATATTATTTTTTGTTTATTTTCAAAGACAAAAGCCTAAAATGAGTAAATGCTCAGGTGGAACTTCAATGCCCCATTTGGACCATGGATGGCCCAAAAGGGTCATTAAAGTTCTGAAAAACAGCTGCAGTCACTAAAACAGATTCAGGAACACTGATAAAGTTGATCAACTTATACGTCGATGACACAACTTTATATTCTTTTTAAAATATCCAATTTCTTCCCATTGATTTATTAAATTTACTGAAATTATTTCCTTTGAAAACACCAAGTTTTATGGATTAGTATCCAAAATTCTAATTTTTAGTAAGTCATTGAAGGTTATTTTAGGATAAAGGGATTAATTATAGCTAAACATTTATATTGTACTTATTACTCCTTTTGAGAAGATCGTTTTCATCTGTTTTCCTGTTAAACCTAAAATATATATATATAAAAAGTATCACCATTAAATCTAAAGAAGGTCTACATCTGCAAAAACCTCTTAAGCCTGTGGGTCAAAATTATACCTGTTGAGGGCCGCACAAAATCACTCCAAGGGCCGCAAATGGCCCTTGGGCCGCACTTTGGACGCACCTGGTTCAAATGTTTCATGATGATTCGTGTGAGCTCTATTTTTAAACCTTGTCAGTTTGGAGTTAGACATTTATTTACAGAGCATTAAGGATGCACAAACAGTGGCAGCAGCTTGACACAAAACTTGTAGTGCAGCCTTTTTCAGCATGGATATCATAAACGTGCTGCCAAAATCACCATGTAATGCAAATGTAAAGGTTTGTAAATGTAAAGGTTTATAAAATAGCATTTGGATGTTCTGTTACGAAATGTTTGAAATTTCGGTTGCTTTAAAAAAGGCGTCAATCAATAATTAATTCAATCTTTATTTATACATGTTAATCTCATTGAGCCCCGGGGACTCATTTACAATTTAATCTGTTTTGTTCTTTGTCCCACTTAGACTAACCTTTAGCTTGTCATTCCAGTCAGAAAAAAAACTTTACTCAAACTGAACTAGTTTAAAGTGCTATCTACAACAGGTAAGATGTTAATTGTTCCCAATGTTTCCACAAAACCCTCTTAAAAAGCTCCAAACAATATTTTTAAAGCATCCTTTATGCATTTTTTTGGGACAAATTTATAGACAAAAGGTTTTTGCATTACCACTATTTCTAAAATATATTATATTGCAGGGCTATTCAACTAAACTGCTCAGGGGGCTACAGTTTCTGAAAGCCAGCAGGACAGGGACTGGACATCCGGCAATTAAAGTCATTATGTAAATAAACCAAGTATCATAATGATCTGTTACCTTTTAAATTTGTTTATTTTGTTGCATTGAAACCTGAATGCAATAAACAGAACCAAAACCCAGAACGCAATAAGTAAATAAATAATGAACTCATTGAGGGGCCGGACTCAAGTCACCCGCGGGCCACTTCCGGCCCACGGACCACCACTTGAATAGCCCTGTTATATTGCTTAGGGCTTCAGTTTATAAATATTTGAAGCAGCCACAAAAACAACCAGTTTTATGTGACTGCATTGTATAATTCTGACAAATGTATTTTTTTTCTTTAAAGTTTTTATTTATTTATGCAGGCTTTGTGTTTTATAGTTATATTAAAACAAAGCTAAATTAGGCTGACTTTGTTGGATTACTTTTTGCAAGTGATTAAATTCCATAAAACGATTAGTACTTGCTCGGAAACAACACAAATTATAAGGAGCTGCTTAGAGATTTATTCACTATTTTTAAATTCTAGAAGCAAATTACGTTGGATTATCACACACACACAAAAAATGTATAAGGAATGGAACAAGTTAAGTCACCCTTGAGACATCTGTAGAGTAAATAGCTGAAGTATTCAAATATAAACCGTCACATTTGTGCTGTTGCTGTGATATAAGTGCATTCCTCTTCATTGATGTCTAACTGTGTGCATGCTTGTCTGCTGTTCAACCTCTTGTGCTGTGCCCATTGCATACCTCTCACCTACTCGCACAGACTCATGGGATTCTGCTCTCCTATGAATTGTGGGTGAGTGTGACTCAGCGCCGCATGGCTCGTCTCGTTTTTCCTCATTTCAACAGCTTTCAGCACTCCGCAGTCCTCTGAGACTCTCAGACAAACTCTTGATTTAGATGGAGAAAGGAGAGTGAAAGACAGATAAAACCCCTCTCGTATCCAAAATGACTCTGAACAAAATTATATCAAAGGTGCATGCAGCCCTGGATGATGTTTAAAGGTACTCATTGCAAATTATGAAATATAACATTAAAATGTTATCCTGAACTGTATTAAATGGTGCATATATGAGTTTATTTTATTAGATTTTCAGATTTATTGATATGCTTGACTGAAATGCAGGTATTCATTCACTATAAACAATGTACTTTACTAAATCTGCCAAAAACCACTTGAAAGCTTGAGTCACATGATTGACCTAAATTTGGCAATATTCTGTGTAGGCAAACAAATATGGTAGAATCAGATGAGCGTGATCTCAAAGACTTTTAGATTTTTGCTGCTAAAGTTTTGCTATCAATTTTTAAAATGTAGGTCTCATTACCCTTCATTAGAAAGTCATTGCATAGACTTTGTGTTTTTTTTATTATTATTATTTTACAGGTCATCATGATTTTGCAGTGAGTAGGCAAATACTTTTGATGTGCAGAATGCAAATTTTTCATATCCTCAGGTTATGTTCCATCGAGGCTCGGCTAAGCTTTAGGCTAGCCTCTCATTATTGGGATTAGAAAGAAAGCCTGTTGTCCAAAAGGGTGGCTGTGGATCAGTGGTTAAAGCAGTTGAGCATGCATCAGGACATTAAAGCAGTTGTTCTCCAACAAGTGAATCTGAGGTTCAACTCCTGGCAGTATGCAGTCACATGTCAAAGTGTCCCTAGACGAGACAATGAATATTGCCTCTGATGTGCCCCATTGGTGTATCAATGTAATCTAAAGCAGGGGTTCCCAACACTGGTCCTTGAGGAACACCATTCTGCATTAGTTGTTTCTCTGCGCCAATACACCCGATTCACTGGTTTAATAACTTCCTTAATTTTGGCAGAAGCCTGTTAATCACATTTCGTTCAAATCAGGTGTGTTGGAGCAAAGGAACAACTACTGCAAGATGGTGTTCCTCAGGGACCAGGGTTGGGAACCACTGATTTAAAATCACCAATTAGATTCTATAGATGACTTATCCAGAGCAGCTTAGTTGAGACATAAGAGTGCTGTATGAAGGTGTGTTGATGGTTAAATGAGGACACAGATTGTTGTAAAGCCCTTTGAGTAACCTGGTTTGAAATACACTGTTGGTACAGTTCATTTACCATTTACCGAGGATACGGTAAATGTATGGAGGTTGTGAGTGGGCATCTTCTTAATCAGATCTATGTATAACCCTATAATACTGTTCCATCACTATGCAATACATCAGTGAGTGAGCATCATGGGATTACAGGATTATATTTACATGAGAATGGAAAGCATAAATAAACATACCGTATTTTCTGGCGTATAAGTCGCTTCGGCGTATAAGTCACATTTATTATGTGTCACTGCTGAACTGTTGCATTTATTATGTGTTTATTTAATGGTCAAAACAACTTACTTTCCCTTGGGCGGTGTGGCATCATCCATCCATCCATCCATCGCGGCCAGAGTCACTAGCTCTCCAGTGTTCCTCTGCCTGCACCAGCTGAGTGAAGAGGAGAGGACTCGCTGTTGCATTTCTTAGAAAAGTGTCAGTCAAAAATTGCCTTATGAATGTGGAAAAAAAAACCTATATGTTGCTTCAGCATATAAGTCGCAGGACTGACAAATCTATGCAAAAACTGTGAATTATATGCCGGAAAATATGGTATGTCCCCATTGGTCAAGTGGGTTTCTATTTAAATCTAATATCCATTATTCTTTTAGATTTTTATGGTGAAATGAACTTTATTAGGAGTTCTGTGCCTTTTTGATTTGAGAGTTACTGCCAAAATTGTGTTTAAAGCCTAATCAAAGCTAATGAGCTTTTATTAAGCTTTATTAGGCAAAGCATGTATTTACTACATTAACAAAATTGAGATTTAGCTGATTTTTACTGTGGCATTAAAATAGCAGCTCTAAAACTGGGGTGGGGCGATCTTTAAAATGTTTGAATGAGTGTTTGACTCGGGTGGGATCTGCCACTGAACCATTATCTTTAATCCATTGTAAAATTAGCACCAGACTTCTTCTGCTCTCATTGAAATAAATATGTTTGAATTGTTTTATGCAGTAAACAATGAAAGTTTGTTTCACACATTTATATATTTATGATACCATTTTTCATATTTTGCTAAGTGAAATTAAAATTACATCGTTGCATTTACCCTTTTTTGAACTTCAGTGGACTGAGTTATCTTTAATGGATTATGCCAACCCATCCTAATGGTCTGTCGTACTTCTCTTGTCTGTTTGACAGTATTAGTCATGTTGGTCCCATATGTGAAAGCAGCCCAGCCAGTTCTGACAGCGAACGGAGCAAGACCGATGAAAGCAGGTTTGTTCTTTTGTATGTTTTAGTGAGAGCGTCTGGTCTAAATTGATAAAAACGAATCATTTCTTCTCTTTTTTTTCCTCTCACAAGGTTTGATTTTTAACGGAGCTCCACAGACAGTTGTCAGATCTAAAAGAACATTCTTCGCATTTTCCCCATTCAGCTGTTGTTTCTGTGAGCCACATTAATTTTAGGTGAAAAAAAATAAATAAAATAAACCTAAAAGACCCTCAGAGGGACAGTCATGACCTGCCTGCATAAAATTAAACTAACAACTTAAAATTTACTTACCGGAGCATGACGGGGAGAAAATAAAAAAACTTTTTGGAATAACAAGACCTTTGAGACTTGATTTTTCAAGCCACATCACATGGGTTTGCAGTTAATGTACCAGCTGGCTCTAGGGATCCCTAATCACAAAAAGTGAGCTACACAGGAGCGTTATATTAGCCGGAATACTAATAACAGAGTGTTTCTTCATTTTCAAAGCATCAAGAACAGTATTAGCATAAAACAGAGGCCTAATGGTTTAATAAA